GAGCTGAGATCGCGCCACTGCACTCCAGCCTGGGTGACAGAGTAAGACTCCGTCTCAAAAAACAAAAAAAAACAAAAAACAAAAAACATGAACCGGGTGTGGTGGCACATGTCTGTAATCCCAGCCACTCAGGAGAATCTCTTGAACCTGGGAGGCAGAGGTTGCGGTGAGCCAGGATCGCGCCATTGCACTCTAGTCTGGGCAACAAGAGCGAAAACTACATCTCAAAAAAAAAGCGACTGGGCATGGTGGCTCATGCCTGTAATCCCAGCACTTTGGGAGACTGAGGCAGATGGATCACTTGAAATCAGGAGTTCAAGACCAGCCTGGCCAATAGGGTGAAACCCTGTCTCTACTAAAAGTACAGAAAATCAGCCAGGCATGGTGGTGCATGCCTATAATCCCAGCTACTTGGGAGGCGAAGGCACGAGAGTCACTTGAACCCAGGAGGCAGAGGTTGCAGTGAGCCGAGATCGAGCCATTGCACTCCAGCCTGGGTGACAGAAGGAGACTTGGTCTTGAAAAAAAAAAAAAACACCCAGGCGTGGTGGCTTACATCTGTAATCCCTGCACTTTGGGAGGCCAAGGCAGGTGGATCACTTGAGGTATCAGGAGTTTGAGACCAGTCTGGTCAACATGGTGAAACCCCGTCTCTATTAAAAGTACGAAAATTAGCCGGGCGTGGTGGGGCACACCTGTAATCACAGCTACTCAGGAGTCTGAGGCAGGAGAATCGCTTGAACCGGGGAGGCAGAGGATGCAGTGAGCTGAGGTGACGCCACTGCACTCCAGCCTGGGTGACAGAGACAGAGTGAGACTCAGTCTCAAAAAAAAGAAAAAAAAATTTTTTTTTTTACAGCATGCCATGTCGGTATAGTCAGGACACTTGAACATCACGACTTGAGGAGATTGATCATTGGAGTCCTCAACAAAACATGCCCATTTCTTTATAATACACTGTGGGTTATCTTCGCAGTTAGCATTCTTCCCTCCCTTGGTTGAAGAATAGCCTCTGATATTAGTTAAAATTCATGGAGAGTATTAGGTGCCTTTCCCTTTTAATTAGTGTCTACTTCTCAGGAACTTGACTGGGCCAGAACATTTCTAAGACTGGAGAGAGTTAGAGGGCTATACCCCATACCTGAGCAAAAACTGGGTACAGACCCTGAGAAAAGCCAGACTTACTGATTTTAAGCTTCTTGCTCAGGACCAGGATTGGGAGCCAGACAATTGGGAGGTTCCAGTGAACGCAGGCAACAGACAGTGAGGCAGGGCCAAACGGTGGATATCTGGCAATAATATCTAGGAATGTTGCCTTCATTAGGGTTAGAACATTGAGAAGTCTCCTTTATTAGATGCCAACTTCTTTTGGCAGGGGGGGAGTGGGTGGCAAAAGAGACTCAAAATGTACCATTTTATGTATTTAAAGTGTACAATTTAGTGGCATTAAGTACATTGACAATTTTGTACAACATAGTGTTTGTAGTTTCACCACTATCTAGTTCCAGAACTTTTATATCACCACAAAAGGAAGCGCCATGCCCATGAAGCATCCATTGCCATGTTTTCCTCCCCCAGCCCCTAGCAACCAATAATCTGCTTTCTCTCTTTATGGATTTGCCTGCCTGTTCTGGATATTTCCAGCTATTCTTATATGTATCTTTTTTATTCTTCATCAACTAGCTGGTAATGAATCTTGTCCTCAGCCTCAGACGTCTGAACACCTGGCTGCTATAGAGATCATGAAACTGAAGCATATTTTGATTCTACAAAATAAAATTGATTTGGTAAAAGAAAGTCAGGCTAAAGAACAATACGAGCAGATCCTTGCATTTGTCCAAGGTAAGAAGCCATAATACGTAATAAATCTATGAATCACTTTGAGAGGCATTTACTCTGGATACCAGATGTTAAATTAACTTTTAATATATTATCTAAAACAAGGTAAACTTATGAGTCTTAAGCCTTATCGCCCTACCTACTGCTTGTTAGCAACCTGATACAACTAATGAAATCTATGATTCTGAATTTAATATACTAAACTATATTTTTGCTGGCAGCAAGTTAGAACTGGGGTTGTTTTCTGGAAACTTTATCGATCAGATTAAAAAAAAATCTCAGTGATAGTAAAATGAATAAAATAATTTTTAAAAACCTCATCTTACAGTATTTGTTACTGAACAGCTACTTTAAGATTTGGAAGTGACAGTGATTATTTAATCTCTAGAGTGTTGGCCGGGCACGGTGGCTCATGCCTGTAATCCCAGCACTTTGGGAGGCCGAGGCATGTGGATCATCTGAGGTCCAGGGTTCAAGACCAGCCTGACCAATGTGGAGAAACCCTGTCTCTACTAAAAATACAAAATTAGCAGGGTGTGGTGGCACATGCCTGTAATCCCAGCTACTTGGGAGGCTGAGGCAAGAGAATCGCTTGAACTCAGGGGGCAGAGGTTGCGGTGAGCTGAGATCCTGCCATTGCACTCCAGCCTGGGCAACAAGAGTGAAACTCCGTCTAAAAAATAATAATAATAATAAATAAATAAGTAAATAAATCTCTTGAGTGTCCCTTCTCTAATAGCATAATGTTTTTCATTTCAGAGGAGACATGATGTATCTTATTCTTGACATTTTCTCTCTTAGTCTTGTTTTTCTTGTTAGGTTAATTTCTTATGAACTCAGTTCTGTCATCATGAAAAGTAGTAAGTGATTTTGATTAAAGTCTAATTGTGTTTGGTCTATTTCTTTGACTAGCTTGTTTGACATATAATTAATACAGAGCAAATATATATAGTTGGGCTTGGTAGCTCACACTTGTAATACTAAGACTTTAGGAGGCCGAGGCGGGTGGAACGCTTGAGTCCAGGAGTTGAAGACCAACCTGGGCCACATGGTAAAACTCCGTCAATCCAAAAATTTATCTGGGCTTGGTGGCACACACCTGTGGTCCCAGCTACTATATAGGAGGCTGAGGTGGGAGGATCGCTTGAACCTGGGAAGTGGAGGTTGCAACAAGCCGTGATTGTGCCACTGCAGTCTAGCCTGGGCGACAGAGCAAGACTCTGTCTCAAAAAAAAAAAAGATTAAAATTATATGTGCCAGCAGTCTTTGATTAGCAGAGTCTGCAATTTTATCTTGACATTTTTTGGGAGATTAATTACATGTTGTTAGAAATCTTTTCAACTAGTAGAGTGTTCTTTCACAGGAGTGTTAGTATGTTCTTTATTTAAACAAGTTTATCGTTGTACTAATATTAAGTATGTCGACTAATATAAAGTAACAAATTTTCCCTTAAAGGGATTAGTATTCATTTTCAGGAGTGAAAACAGAATATTGCCATCTTTCTGAACAGAATTATCCACTTTCCACTTGTTGCTGACATTTGTATGGGGTTTAGGCATCTATTTTATTATAGTAACCTTAATCGTTTTATGTAACAGATACATAGAATAAATTTTTAAAAACTGAATAATTTTGATCGTTCTGAATTTTGTCATATAGGTACAGTAGCAGAGGGAGCTCCCATTATTCCAATTTCAGCTCAGCTGAAATACAATATTGAAGTTGTTTGTGAGTACATAGTAAAGAAAATTCCAGTACCCCCAAGAGACTTTACTTCAGAGCCCCGGCTTATTGGTAAGTGATAGGATTTGCCTTTAACTCTTAATCTGATCTTTTCCACATTGGTGATTCTTCTTCAAGGATGTTTATTTTATTAATATTTCCTCTTTCTGCAGAGGTGATAACTCATACAATTTTTTTGAAATCAATTCTGAGATTGTATTAGTAGTGCTAGATTGTATTACTGAATGAGGGACAGAGTCCTGAACACAATAAGAGCTGTTAACCTAGGCCGGGCATGGTGGCTCATGCCTATAATCCCAGTACTTTGGGAGGCCAAGGTGGGTGGATCACATGAGGTCAGGAGTTTGAGACCAGCCTGACCAGTATGGTGAAACCCTGTCTCTACTAACATACAAAAAAGTAACTGGGCATGGTGGCGGGCGCCAGTGATCCCAGCTACTCAGGAGGCTGAGGCAGGAGAATCGCTTGAACCCAGGAAGCAGAGGTTGCAATGAGCTGAGATCGTGCCACTGCACTCCAGCCTGGGCAACAAGAGTGAAACTGCGTCTCAAAAAAAAACCAAAAACAACTGTTAACCTTTCTGTGCTCAATATATGGTACATGATCAAGATGGAGTAATACAGTATTCTCTATGGAATCATAATGTTTTAGTCAGGGTGTTCGAACTTCCTGACTAAAACATCATACAGATGATTTTGTTGTTCAATTAACGAAGAACTGATACTGATATAATTTGATCACCTAGGCTTGTGGTTCCTACACAAGGATGTAGAAACCTTCTCGAAACAGACATTTGAGCTCCTCTGGGCCTTCATCCAGACTCCTGGTGTTTAGTAGGAAATACTTTCCGAAGTGCAGGTCATGTAGTCCTAGTATTTTGTAGTTATAAAGCTGAATTGTTCTTACAGGAGTTACAGAGGTATGTAAAGAAAATGTCCATAATCTCTCTATCTTCAAGTTCTAGTCGCTTAGCCCTAAAGTCAGCAAAGTTAACATTTGCTGTCCATTATTCCCACACTTTCCTCATTGTTCATATCATCATGTATAAACATATACACAGGCTGGGCATGGTGGCTTTCACCTGTAATCCCAGCACTTTGGGAGGCTGAGGCTGAGGTGGGAGGATTGCTTGAGGCTAGGAGTTTGGGACCATCCTGGGCATCAAAGGAAGACCCCGTTTCTACAAAATAAAATATAGCTGGGTGCAGTGGTGTGTACCTGTAGTCCCAACTACTTGATAGGCTGAGGCAGGAAGATCGCTTGAGCCCACGAATTTGAGGCTATAGTGAGCTATGATTGTGCCACTGCACTCTAGCCTCTATGATAGAGGGAAAAAGAAATCCATATACAGATATTGATTAGTTTATTTTTCTTTATGGAAGTGGGATTATATTATACATATAATTTTATGAGGGTCATCCTTCCAGATCATTACATACAGCTCCAACATTATTAATAGTTGCATGATGCTCTATAATACTGGTATACCATATATGCCACTTGTTAACAAACTTATTTTCATTTTTCCCATCATAAGTAAGACTGCATAAGCATTGGGATAATACTAGATTTTGTTACAAAGGCACCCCTTTGGTATAAATCTCAAATGGTCACTATTTTCGAAATGTTAACATGGAAAATATTATTTCTTCTAAAGTTAAAATTAACAGAACTGACTTTAATTTGTTTTATTTTATTTTAGTTATTAGATCTTTTGATGTCAACAAACCTGGCTGTGAAGTTGATGACCTTAAGGGAGGTGTAGCTGGTGGTAGTATCCTAAAAGGAGTATTAAAGGTAAAATGGGTTTTGGTTGTTGTGATTTTGTTTTTTTTTTGTTGTTGTTGTTGTTTGTTTGTTTTACCCTTGTCTTAATCAGGAAAAAAAGTATGGACAATCCAAATTGAAAAATAAAATTTTTTCCATGGTTTCTGGCATTTGATAAAGAGTTCTCTTTTTTAATATTCTTCTTTTCCATCTTCAAACTTCACTCGCCCCACCCTTCTAGATCTCTGAATCCACTCTACCTTCATGAGATCCACCTTTTTAGCTCCCACATATACAGATGAGTGAGAATGTGTGATGTTTGTCTTTTTGTGCCTGGCTTATTTTACTTAAAATGGCCTCCAATTCTAGATATGTTGCTGCAAATGGCAGAATTTCTTTATTTTTTATGGCTGCATAATACTCCGTTGTATGTATATGCTGCCTTTTCTTTTTTTCTTTCTTTCTTTCTTTTTTTTTTTTGAGGCGGAGTCTTGCTCTGTCGCCCAAGCTGTAGCGATCTCGGCGCACTGCAACCTTCACCTCCCGGGTTCAAGCAATTCTCACTGCCCCAGCCTCCCAAGTAGCTGAGATTACAGGCACCTGCCACCAAGCCCAGCTAATTTTTGTATTTGTAGTAAAGATGGGGTTTCACCATGTTGACCAGGCTGGTCTTGAACTCCTGACCTCAGGTAATCCACCCACCTTGGCCTCCCGAAGTGCTGGGATTACAGGCGTGAGCCACTGCACCTGGCCTATATACTGCATTTTCTTTATCCATTCATCTGTTCATGGGCACTTAGGTTGATTCCATATTTGGCTATTGTGAACTGTGCTGCAATAAACATGGGAGTGCAGATACCTCTTTGATATATTGCTTCCCTTTCTGTTGAATGTATACCCACTAGTGAAATTGATGGATCATATGGTAGCTCTATTTTCATATTTTCAGGTTTTCAAGGAACCTCCATATCTGTCTCTTATACACATCTAGATGTGTATAAGAGACAGACTCTAGCCTGGGTGACAGAGTGACACTCTGTCTCAAAAAAAAAAAAAAGAAAAGAAGAAAAGAAAAAAAGAGTTTACCAGGTTGGGCATGGTGGCTCATGCTTATAATCCCAGTGCTTTGGGAAGCCGAGGTGGGAAGATTGCTTGAGACCAGGAGTTTGAGACCAGCCTAGGAAACCGTGAGATGCCGTTTCTCCAATCAAATAGTAAAATAAACTTGGTTTGGTGCCTGTAGTTCCATCTCTCATTTTATCCTTTGTGTGCATGTGTGTGGTAAACAAGGGAGATCTGGTAACTTTTTAAAAATTTAACTTAAGGAACTTTTTATTTATTTATTTATTTTGAGGCAGAGTCTTATTCTGCCACCCAGGCTGGAGTGCAGTGGTATGATCTCGGCTCGCTGCAACCTCTGCCTCCTGGGTTCAGTTAATTCTCGTACCTCAGCCTCCCGAGTAACTGGAACTACAGGCACATACCACCATAGCCAGCTAATTTTTGTATTTTTAGTAGAGATGGGGTTTCGCCATGTTGGCCAGGCTGGTCTCGAACTTCTGTTCTTAAGTGATCCACCCTCCTTGGCCTCCCAAAATACTGGGATTACAGGCGTGAGCCACCGCACTTGGCCTATACTGTAATGATAACCCCCATAGAGCCATCGCTCAGCTTCAGCAATTATTAATGTTTTACCAATCTTGGCCGGGTGCGGTGGCTCATGCCTGTATTACCAGCGCTTCGGGAGGCCGAGGTGGACGGGTCACCTGAGGTCAGGAGTTCGAGAAACCTGTCTCTACTAAAAATACAAAAAAAAAAAAAATTAGCCATGGCAGCACATATCCGTAATCCCAGGTCGCAGTGAGCCGAGATCATACCACTTCACTCCAGCCTGGGCGACAGAGAGAGACTATGTCTCAACAACAGCAGCAAAAAAAAGTTTTCCAAATCAATCTTGTTCCATCTATGTATCTTCTTTCCCCTACTCCCCTCAAGACACAGCTAGAATATTTTGAAGTAGATTCCAGGAATCATATGTAGTCTTTTTTTTTTTTTTTTGAGAGTCTCTCTGTCACCTAGGCTGGAGTGCAGTGGCGCGATCTCGGCTCACTGCAACCTCTGCCTCCCGAGTTCAAGTGATTCTCCAGTAGCTGGGATTACAGGTGTCTGCCACCACGCCCGGCTAATTTTTGTATTTTTAGTAGAGATTGGATTTTGCCACGTTGGTCAGGCTGGTCTTGAACTCCTGACCTTAGGTAATCCTCCAACTTGAACCCCTCCCCAAGTGCTGGGATTATAGGCGTGAGCCACCGCGCCCAGCCCATATATGGTCTTTAATTATCTTTTTGATCAGTCTTTCAGGGGAGAAATGGCATGCAAATACTCTGCAAACTACTCATTTAAAATTTTGTATTCTTTCAGTTTTTGTTAAGGATATTCAGACTCATTTTGAGTTCACTTATTATCTCTATTTGCCCTTTGTTTAGAATTTATTTTTATTGTTTTCAAGACCAGGTCAGTAATACTTACACCTCCTGCATTAAGTTCTCGGCCAAGCCATCATTCCTAGAAAATCAGATTTCTAAACCCTTTGTTTAGAATTTAAATCAAGAGAATCTTTCTGTTCTCATTTGCCCAGTCATCTCATGAGTGTACATTTCTATTTGTCTAGATAAAACAGGTATTTTCTTGTGCCTATATAGCTGTTGTATGAGTATGAAAATAAAAGTATGAAAGTGTGTAGGTATGTGCTGTGCTTATATGGCTTTGGGGTATCTAATTCACTTTTTTTTTTTTTGGG